TGAAATTGTTGAAAATCTTTTTTTCCATCATTTTCATTCTTTTGTCCCTACTTAACATTTCTTGACATATAAAAAAACATTAGCACGTCATTTACAAACAAAAACCTGATGAGTGGGGTCAACTATTTAAATTAAGTAAACATGATGTCCGACAAGTGGGAGTGGTCCAAGGTGGGAGTAATAATGTAATTATACCTAAAAATAGGTTTTGTGTATTTACTAGGAACACTTATGTATTTAGAACTCTTTTATTTTAGGAATTTGATCAATTCAGTACCGGAAAGATAGATGAGCTATTACTCCGAGGGATGAAAAATGAAGTGTCGACATAGGGCTCAAATGATTGAAAAATATCAATCTAGTACCCAAAATTCCCTAGGTTTTGATTTATTTAATTTTTGTTAATTCTATTGCTAATTTTTATGAATTTCTGTTCACAAAAGTTTATTAGTTTAATAAAATTAAATAATATTTAAAAAATTTTAAAGTAAATAATAACAATATAATTCATTACAACTTAGGTCATAGATCAATGATTTTTAATCATGTGGGGCCTATACCGACACTTTTTATTTTTCAGGTCCCGAATTGATAGCTCATCTATCTTTCGGATCCTAAATTCATATAATTCCTTTATTTTATATATGACATCTATGGCTAATAGCTAGTCTGATAAACATGAGAACTATTCTCACACTTAAATTAGACATAAATTAGACGAAATTGTGAAGTCATGGCACAAATACATAAATTGAAAAATCCCTCTGCATCACGTACAAACATCGGAGAAGGCTGCGACGGAAAGGAGACATTGTCCGAGATTTTCACGAGGATGCATCACATAGAGAACTTGTCGTAACCAGGATGGGTGTGACCGAAGATGGCAGTGCCACCATGGAGACGAAGCCGACGACGCTCAAAGGATCGGTCGTTGTACCAAAGGAGTGGTCCCGTGTGAGGGTGATTCAAGTGGGTGGTTTCTGACACTCTAGATATTCCCATTGTGTGTGTGTGGGGGGGGGGTCTTAAATTTAAGTCACCAAGAAAGTGAATTTGGGATTCATTTATTCAATGACGACCCTCTAGCCTCCGAGGTTAGCTTGAGTGGTCGCGTAATCAATTCTTTAGTTTCATACTAAAACAAGTCCAAGTAGAAACATCAATGTTCTTCAATTCTCATATCTTTTTTCTCTCTAAAAACTAGTCTTAAAGTGAAATTGTTGAAAATGTTTTTGCCATGTCGTTTTATTCACTTGTCTCGAATTATTTTTCTTATTCTATCATTTTCATTTTTTTGTCCATACTTAACATTTCTCGCATATAAAACACATTGGCACGCCATTTACAAACAAAAATCTAACGAGTGGGGTCAACTATCTAAGTAAGCATGATGTCCGACAAGTGGGAGTGGTCCAAGGTGGGAGTAATAATCTAATTATACCTAAAATAGGGTTTATGTATTTAGTAGGAACACTTATGTATTTGGAACTCTTTTATTTTAAGAATTTGATCAATTTAGTATCCGAAAGATACACGAGCTATTAATCCGAGAGATGAAAAATGAAGTGTCGACATAGGGCTCAAATGATTGAAAAATATCAATCTAGTACCTAAAATTCCCTAGGTTTTGATTTATTTAATTTTTACTAATTCCATTGCTAATTCTTTTGACTTTCTGTTCACAAAAGTTTATTAGTTTAATAAAATTAAATAATATTTTAAATTTGTTAAAATAAAAAATAATAACAGAATTCATGACTTAGGTCCTAGATCAATGGTTTTTAATCATGTGAGGCCTATACCGACACATTTTATTTTTCTGGCCCCGAATTAATAGCTCATCTATCTTTCAGATCCTCAATTGATATAATTCCTTTATTTTATATATGACATTTATGGATAATAGCTAGTCTGGTAAACTTGAGAACTATTCCCACACTTAAATTAGATATAAATTAGACGAAAATGTGATGTCATGGCACAAATACATAAACTGAAAATTCCTCCATTTGCATCACGCAGAAACATTGGAGAAGGTTGCGACGGAAAAGAAACATTGTCCAAGATGTTTCAGGAGGATGCATCGCATAGAGAACTTGTCGTAACTAGGATGGGTGTTGTAACACCCCGGCCCCGCAGGACCCGAGGTAGTTACTCCAGACCTCTAGTACTGTCCTCACAAACCGCCACTAGCCTTTTCCGCGCACTTTGTCCTCACTCGTGCGCGCCCTGAAAAACTTCCCAGGGGGGTCACCCATCCCAAGACTGCTCCCGTGCAAGCACGCTTAACTTTGGAGTTCTTGGCTAACGAGCTCCCTTAAAAGGAGATGCATCTTGTTGGTATGAGTAGTACTATTAATCCGTTTATATTAAATCTCAAGTGTTACAATCACCCCCACTTAGGATCGCAACGTCCTCGTTGCGCCCTTAAACCAATCTCAAATCTCAATCAAACCCAGAATCTTTTCCCCTGCTAAGTGTCTGCCCGATATCCAACGGATCAACACACTGTCGCAAGGTTGCTCTGATACCACCTGTAACACCCCGGCCCCCGCAGGACCCGAGGTAGTTACTCCAGACCTCTAGTACTGTCCTCACAAACCGCCACTAGCCTTTTCCGCGCACTTTGTCCTCACTCGTGCGCGCCCTGAAAAACTTCCCAGGGGGGTCACCCATCCCAAGACTGCTCCCGTGCAAGCACGCTTAACTTTGGAGTTCTTGGCTAATGAGCTCCCTTAAAAGGAGATGCATCTTGTTGGTATGAGTAGTACTATTAATCCGTTTATATTAAATCTCAAGTGTTACAGGTGTGACCACGGTGGCAGTTCCACCATGGAGACAAAGGCGGCGGCGCTCAAAGGATCGGTCGGTGTACCAAATGAGTGGTCCAATGTGAGGGTGATTCAAGTGGGCGGTTTCCCACACTCCAGATATTCCCATTGTGTGGGTGGGGGGGGAGGGGTCTTAAATTTATGTCACCAAGAAGGTGAATTTGGGATTCATTTATTCAATGACGATCCTCTAGCCTTCGAGGTTAGCTTCAGTGGTCGCGTAATCAATTCTTCAGTTTGCCTCAATCGGCAATGAACAAGTCAGCTTCTGCTAGGAAGCTGGTGGTGTTTGACCAATCAATTACACACAATTCTTCTCGAAGTTGTGCCGGTAACCTAAGAGCACACGGAATCAATCACTTAAAAGCAATTTCTTATTTGCGGTGATGTATAAATACTAGTTCCCAAGACTAGTCTGACGAAATCGGAATCACCTGGAGCTAATAAAAGTAAACTCTCCATTGAATGTACATAGTTAGTTGTCTTACTAGACTTATGTGTCCACACACACTGGATATATATGGTTTTAGTGAAAATGGTTCTTCGGTGATGCACATTCATGTTTATTAGGGTGCATGTTTCTAGTTACGATGGCACATACTTCATATCGACAAAAAAGTTCATTTTATTTATTTTATTTACAAAGAGGCTGCCACGTTTTCTCATTAAAACAGACAAAACATATTGCGGTTTCATACAATGCATGATTCTTAAATATAATGCTACAGATTCATTTTCATTTCTCTCATTAAATCACATCCTCACTAAATATATATACTAGTTAATTAGCTTGTGCGTTGCACCAGTAAACTTACCCAGAAGTATCTCATTAAATGATTAATATATATGAAGTATGTGATATGCATATGGTAGATGTTGAGTCATACGTAATAGAGGAAAATTGAATAATGGAGTATTTTGTAGCATACCAAATATTGTTTTTCGTAAATTGGGGTAGGTGTAAAGTACAATTTCTTTATGTAAACAAAACTATTGTCGCAAGTATGAGAGAGATGCCCCCACTTACTTGTGCCCTTAAAAATAATTAAAACGCCAATATATACAAAGAATTTTCTTATATACATCCAAAACAAATCGAACAAAGTCTAAAACATTAAACCTAATGCTCAGGTACGGTGATCTTTGACAAATATTTTGATAATAGCAAAATCTAAAACATTGAAAATGATTTCTATATGATAATTGATAATCCATTTGAGGATCGACATATTTAAATAACATATGCATTAAGGGAAAATTTATAATATATGAATAACAAATAATGTAATTTCAATCCCTTAAACATGAGTAATATTCTTCCTCTGAATAGAAGTAAAGTGTTATCATCCCCTCGGTAATCATATTTAGGGGGAAGAAAATTACTCGTATTGAGAAAAGCTATATCACTTTTATTCCTATTTAAGATAATTTTTAGGATACGTAGACTTTGCACACTCTTATATACCCCTGATTAGCCTTTGCACCCTAATTTTAAAATTGTTAGTATTTACACCCTAAACTAACTGGGTCTGTTAGTTAGACTTCTCAACAATCCTAAATGACATCAATACCCTCTTGACAGCTTGATCCTACACATCCCAGACTTCCCATACAGCTCCCAATCCGGTCCTTCATTAACACAATACCCATCCTACAAAACTGAAGTTTGATCCTACCCACCCTACATTAATACCTTCCTGACAGCTTGATCCTACACATCCCAGACTTCCCAGATAGCTCCCAATCCGGTCTCTCATTAACACACTACACATCCTACAAAATTGAACCCTGAAATGAGGCCTACAAAACTGAAGATAAAAATGCACACTAATGACATTACCCAGAAGTGACTGAAACACAAATCCTAGAACACAAAACTCAGGCCTATTGAAAAAACAGATACAACATGAAGATAAAAGATAAGAACATAATTAAAATATAAGAAAGGAAAAACAGAGCATAAATTTAAATCAACAACATAAACGAAAGATTCAACAGCCCATTGATTCTTGTGTGTGGTGGTCCTCTAAATTTGCTGATTACTTACTAGTCAAAGTACAATAAATGTATACATCAAACCATAAATGAGTATAAAATGCTCATCCAACAATATGTAACTACCCTTCCGCATTACTTACTCTCTATAAAACAATACACATTTGAGGTTGGAAAAAGCTGCACATTACCCTTCCAGAATAATGGTATTGGTGCAGGGGAAGGGGGAACAAGTTGGAACAAGGTATGAATTTTGTTCATTTAAATTGTTCTTGCTAACAAGACTAACATATTATCTTTTGTTTAGTGTTTTCATTGTGGAGAACAAGGTCATTGGGCCAAGTCATGCACCTATAAACACATTCCTTGTACAGAGGCCTGCCCCGATGTCAAGTGACATTCATGTAATTTCCATGTTTATGTTTGTGTTTTTAATTAGTTTAGAGTGATTGTTACTTTGGAAATTACACACTTTTGGTGTAATAGTTTAGTTTGTAAAATGTTTGTAAATTGTTTAGATTAGGTTTATTCTGAGCTCAAACAGGTTCAAGATCACTCTAGGGACCATTGGTGAACATCACAAGTGGAAGGAAGGTGCAAAAGTTCCAAGACAAAATGAAGATTCTGATTTTTGGTGTTGTACCCGGTCGGGTATGCCCTATACCCGATCGGGTAAGTCGCTGAAAAATTAAATCGGATCAACCCGGGAACAAGGGGGAGATTTTGACCACGATCGAGTGTTCATACCCGATCGGGTGGCCGACATACCCGATCGGGTATGCCCCAGTTTTTCACACTTCTGCGAAGCAACCGAATACCCGATCGAGTGCCCTTACAGCCCGATCGGGTACATGACCCTGCAAGTCTAAAAAGCCTATAAATACACCTCATTTCCTCCACAATAAATCACCAATTCCTATATACTTCTAAGCTCAGTTTAGACAAGTTATTTCTTTATATTTTCTTCATGTTTAGTCTCCAAATGAGGAGCTAAACTCTCCCATCTTGGTTTTGCTACTTTGAAGCTTAATGAATTGTAAGTTGTGAGTTATTTTCTTTAATCTTCTTCCTTGAATATTAATTAATTCCTATTCCTATTACATATTAATATTTTGAGCATTACTTAAAGGATCAACTAGTTTTGTTTCATATATTAATTAATAGTAGAATCGGTCGATTAATACGTTTGTTATTAATTCGGTTCTTTCACGGTAGTAAACTTGGGTTGTTAATGCATGCGTCTCATAGTTAATAACCGAAGGGGGATTAATTATATTGATTAAACCAGTAAACCGCTTGTGTTGAGGTTATCAATCTCTATCGTTTTCATCTCTATTCTATTGCTACTATCGAGTGAATATACGGCGCGTGTTCAATATTAACTCGGTAGTATGTTTTATTAATGAACGCGTCTCGTTATTAATAACTACCCTCGATGAATTGGATATACTCCTCGATTGAGTATTCGAGAGGAAGATAGTTAAAGATATAACCGGGATCGACGAACATTTCATTAAGTGGATAAAAGCAAAACCAAGTCTTCTTCTCATTAATTAAAACACATAAGTCGTTCATCTTCATGTTTGAATATAATTTAAAGTTCATCAACCAACCATAAAAACCCCCCCTTGTTACTTATTTCCAAGTTTTATAAAAAGAGAAGTGTTCTTTTCCCTGTGGATACGAACCTTACTACACTATACTACATATTAGTGTCGTATTGATTATTATTTTGAGTGCATACACGACAAAGTGCACGTCATCAAGCATTCAAATGGGTAGATTTACCAAAACAGAAAGAAATAGCAAGAGATGTACCAACCAAGAAAAAACCATCCACAAGTGAAGCAACAACAACCATTCATAGGCAAAACCGTAATGTTAAAGTGATTGTAGAATAAGATGGGGGGGAAATAACATATGAAGGTCAGGTATGTGATGTAATTCAACTTATGAGTAAAAAACTCATTATATAATATTACTGTTTTGGTCTACAGACCTTTCATATTACATTGAGCAAAAAACTGCAAGTGCAATGTGTTTATACTTTGTTGTTATCTAATTCTAGCAAATTTAGTTAGCTCTGGTACTTATAAAAAAAGAGTGAGCTTCATGTCTAGAATTTACAAGGAGAAAAAAACCAGTTAGACCACTTATATTGCATCTGTGCATTGAGCAAAACCGGTTGTAGCAACAACTAGTTGTGGTAAACACTAGTTGTGTCAACAACTCTGCAAAAACATACACACACACACACACACACATATGACTTACTTATGGTAGGCAGTAGTACTTCCACCACCTCTTCTACCCCCTGTACCACCTGTCCTTCCAGCACCACGTCCATTTAGTACAAAACCACCTCTTGAACCAGCCCTTGAACCAGCCCTTGAACCAGCCCTTGCACCTACCCTTGAACCAACCCTTGCACCTGCCCTTGAACTAGCCCTTCCATCAGCCCTTGCACCACCTGTAGCACCTCTCCCACCACCTCTAGCAATTGGCCCTCCTTTACATGATCTCTTGTTATGCCCAAAAGATTGGCACTTGGTTCACTTCTTTTGACTTTTGGATTGTGTTTCTATCTCATCATGCCCCTTTACTCTATTGTTTTTAGGCCTCCCGAGGGCTCTTGAAAGCTTAGGTGGCAATAGAAGTTCATTTCCCCGCACAATTTTAAAATAATGCTTAATATGGTTAGTATTTGTGCTTAATGATTCTGGAATGTATGAATGTATATATTGATTTCATACTACCTCTGGCCAATCACTTTCATGTGATATTGGTTTGAAATTAGTTTGATAACATGCTTTGTAGGCCTTCACATGTAGTAATGGATTACAAAATCAATAAGCAACAACAAAATGAAGTGAAATACAAAACAAGCATTCAGTTCCAATATAAAAATTAAACAAAGAAATAAAGTAAAGGTAATAGGAACATACTGAGGTAGTGGAAGTCTCAAATGGCTGATCAAACGCACTGCATGTACACATGGTATGCCTGTGACCTGCCACTCACAACACTCACACTCTTGTTTGTTTAAATTAATAATCCAATGTTCCCCAGCAAATTTTCTCACACATAATGTCCCTTCACCTGAAGGGCAGGTGACATAATCATTTTGCTTCTCCTTATAAGCTGCCAGGATGCTACCAACCCCAAGTACAACATCATTCTCATTCCAAGTACTACTCTGAGCTTTCCTATCATACATAATCTCCATTAAAAGGAATGATATACATATTATCACTGAACACTCAGGTTTATCCCTTTGACTTAATATAAAACTGTTATATCTCACTGTGAAGTTATTTGTCAGGTGATCACTCTTACATGTTGTATCAAAATGTGCTTTTGACCATAACTCTGGACCTATCTCCAATAAATAATCCTTGATGCCAACTGCTGCCTCATCCAACTTCTGAAGACTTCTTTGAAAGTGAACCTTTTTATATGCTGAAGCAGTAGCCCATGTCAGCTCTTTTATGTGTTCCCCTTTCCACCACTTACTCATATTCTTGAAGATGTGTCTAGAGCAGCTCCTAGGATTGCAGCCTCCCAAATGTGTCTGAATACTTGTTATAATAGCTTGAGCCCTATCAGATGTGACAGTAAGTGGCAAAGGGTGTTTCTTCAGCTTCGGAGCTATTGATGCCAAAAATTTGTCTCAGTTCTCACCATCTTCTTTTCTACAAATGAAGACTGCTAGAGGAAACAGTCCATTATTCCCATCCATGCTAATAACTGTTAGACACACTCCTCTGTATTGTCCTTTTAGAAAGCAACCATCCAACACTACTAGTGGCCTGCAGACAGTTCTCCACCCTTTCAAGCTACACGTAAAAGCAACACATAAATACTGAAATTTATTGTCAGAGTCATATTTGCACTCAACCAAACTACCAGGATTAGAAGCTAGAATCTGTCTGCACAATTCAGGAACTTGAGTATAACTTTTCTCATAATTGCCATGGAGCTCTTCAAGCGCCATTAGCCTCGCATTCCATGCTTGTCAGTAACCAATGTTTAAAGCCCACTTATTCCAAGCTATAACAATGATATCTTGGGGTGTGTAACTGTTGTGGTGCAGCCTCATGTCCTCAGCCAGCATAACAACAATCCATCTAGCATTTGCCCCTCTATTCTTGTTCCTGCCATCATTTTCACAAGTATGTTCTTCTTGGAGAGACTTCACTTCAGTTGTGTGCCCATCATTTTTCTAGGGAAAAGGGGCAAATAAGACCACGTACTAACCAAAAAAAGGTCAAATAAGGCCTTGTTTATGAGGCTCTGTCCGGCCTTTGCCATTTGGGGTGGTTCTCGGTGGATTTTTTTGATAAAGTTTTTGCCCATCTTATTCATTAAGTCTAGTTTACTCATACCAAATCTCTGCTAAAACTTCAATCGGGGAGGCATTCAAATGAATTCTTGAAGATAATCGAGAAAGCTTTCAGCGCAACTATCATCAAGAATTCATTTGAATGCCTTCTCGATTGAAGTTTTAGCTGAAATTTGGTATGAGTAAACTAGACTTACTGAATAAGATGCTCAAAAAATTCCATCAAAAAAATCCACCGGGAACCACCCCAAATGGCGACGGACGGACAGGGCCTCTTAAATAAGACCTTATTTGACCCTTTCTGGTTAGTATATGGCATTATGTGCCCCTTTTCTCTTTTTTCTAATAACATAACACCTCCAAGAACATCTTTCCCCTTTACACCTCAATATAAGCTTACCTACACAATTTTTCTGAAATAGGATCACAAATTTATTCTTGATGGCATACATTTTAATGCACTTTCTGCATGCATCCACAGTGACCCATTGTTTTCCTATTGCCAAGTCTAATTGGTCTTCCCATTTCATAGAAATCACTCCCTTCTTCTGCATAAGAACTATTGTCATCTAAATTTCCTCATCTGATTCATTCATATCATCTGATTTATTCAGATCATACCCATCTAGTCCATCAACAATGTGCTCAAATTGGATACCTACATAACACAGTACAATAACATGTACATCAACAATATAAATAAATCATTTACTTAAATACATATACAACACAACATAATTTCATTATATTGAACCAAGTAATGAGCATATACCTTCATAAAACTGTGAGGTATCCTCAACATTTGGCACATTCAGAGAGTTGTTCAGTGGAGGTAATTCAACGAATATATCACCAAAATCATCACTATTTGTTCTTTCATCTATGCTACTTTCATAGAATGGTACCCTAACTGAAATCATTCAAATAACCCATCTTAATAATAAAAAATCAAAAACTGTGTATCACAAACTCGATATAACAAACTCTTTATAAAAGAATCTTCATAATCAAATATGACAAACTAAGCATCATCCAACTTACTTGGAGCCGATAAATAGTCCATTTTTTCTCTTCACGGGAAACTTTGATGTCCTCTGAATCCTTTGCACAGCCGTTGGAGTAGGTACTCCTAAATCCACCCATACATTGTTATCATCTTCCATTCTATTTCCTTCATTCATCCCAACCCTAATTCACTCGCACCAAGCCAATTGGGAGAACATTCAAATTGGTGCTCTCTGAGAAAGAAGAATGCGAACGACTGTGGTAGCTACTTTGATCAGGGCATTGGCGTCATTATACACCTCTGTTTACCTCTTAACAGCTAACTAATAGATGGAGGGTGTAAAAATACTAACAATTTTATAATTAGGGTGCAAAGGCTAATTAGGGGTATAAAAGAGGGTGCAAAGTCTAAATAACCCTAATTTTTACTCTGGTGATCTTTGATGAATATATGTTGACCTTTAAAGCAATATGAAAACTATTTCTATAATTTCAATTTCTTAAATAAGCTTCCCGTGAATAGATGAGTTTTTTTTCGCATTTATTACTTTAACAAGAACATAGATATATATCTTTGGAGGGCAGTTCATATCAGGTCGGCCTGACGGCGACTGTCAGGCCGAGGCCATTTGGGACCCTTTCCGGTGGAATTTTTTGATGAATTTTTTAGCATATTGCTCATCAAGTCTATTTTATCCATACCAAATTTCAGCTAAAAATTCAATCGGGAAGGCAGCCAGAAAAAATCCCTACGATTGATT